ATATCCCTTTACCAACTTTGACCCTCAGATCTTGTCCAGCGTGATCATTCCCAGCTATTATTGTCAAAGTGGTCTCTTCTCTATCTTACCGACCCTCAGCCCCACACACACTTTTGGGTAGTTCCAACCATTGACCAGTCCTCCTAGCCCCTGTTTTCCCTGGCCGTGGATATTCATCTCAACTCTTCTAACAGAGGCTTGAAACATGCCTCTGAAGAGTCCCAGTGACCTGGTTCATCGGTCTTTGCTGACTGAGCCAAGTGTCCTGGTCAGCTTCAGATCACTGGCTGGTGAATGGGGCTATTTAGTTTTTCTCGGCTGCTTTTATGGCCCATTCACAGGCCCATCGGGCTTGGCCTCATGGCAAAGCAGGGGTGGAAGAGAAAGTTTTATGCTCACGAGGATAACTTGAGTCCTAGGGCTCTTGTCCTGACAGCCACAGGAGACATGGTCTGGGTGATGTCTCAGACATCAGACACCCAGAGTGATGGGCCTGCCCCGCACCCTACACTCCACCCCCAAGTCCCTGTCTCCAGGGCTGGGGTGAGGTACTGCATTCAGCTCTTTGAAATAGCTGGTGTTTGACCCTAGGCCTGTCTCACCCCAAGTGGGTTCGCCTCTCTGGCTGTATCAGAAAGGAAGTAGAGGCAGCCTCCAGCGTTTAGTTTATTTTAAGCTTCTATCTCATGCTGGAGCGACAGCACAGCGGTAGGGCGTTTGCCTTGCATGCAGCCAACATGGCCAACCTGAGTTTGATTCCTCCACCCCTCTCGGAGAGCTCGGCAAGCTACCGAGAGTATCTCGCCCGCACGGTAGAGCCTGGCAAGCTACCCGTGACGTACTCGATATGCCAAACACAGTAACAACAAGTCTCCAATGGAGATGTTACTGGGCCCGCTCGAGCAAATCGATGAACAACAGGAGGACAGTGATACAGTGATACAGTGATCTCATGCCCTTCGGTAATAACTGTGAAGAGGGTTTTATTTCTTTGTTTGAGGGCTACATCCAGCAGTATGGAGAGCTTCTGGTTCTATACTCTGGAATCACACGGGCTAGGGGGACCATATGAGATGCCGGAGGTCAAACCGGGGTTGGCCACATACAAGGCAAATTCCCTCCCCGCTGTATGATTTCAGCCTGGTAGCTGTGAGTTTTTTTGAAAAGGAACAAAGCACCCCAAACCTGCTCTCTAAATTCTCTTCTTGTCAGCTCCCGGCCTTTGTCTATGGGTATAGTCGGATTTATCATCATGGTGAACAGATTCATTATATTCTTTTTTATTTATTTATTTTTTTATTAGTGAAACACCATGAGGTACAGTTATAGACTTACAAATTTTTGTGCTTGGGTTTCAGTTATACAATGATCAAATACCCATCCCTCCACCAGCACCCATCCTCCACCACCATGGGTCCCAGCATCCCTCCCACCCCCCATCCCCCCATCCTACCCTGCCTCTGTGGCAGGGCATTCCCCCTTGTTCTCTCTCTCTCTTCTTTTGGATCCTGTGTTTTGCAAGAGAGGCATTGAGTGGCAATCAGATTCATTATATTCTTAATGAATTATATTCTTAATATAAATATAACCGTTATATTTATATAACGATTCCAGTTATATAAATTATTTTCAAATATTCATGAACAACAAACTGTGTGGTCACGAGGAACTTGAAGTTCACACCTTCCTAGGAGGGGAAGCACGGAGTCAAAAATAAAGAACTCTTGGACCCGAGCCATAGCACAGCGGGGAGGGTATTTGAGTTGCACGCAGCCAACCCAGGTTCGATCCCCGGCATGCCGTAGGGTCTCCCAAGCACTGCCAGGAGTGATTCCTGAGGGCAGAGCCAGGAATCAGCCCTGAGCATCACCGGGATGGCCCAAATAAAAAAAAAAAACTCTTGTCTAACTGCATAGGAAGATTACCTCCCAATGTGAGGTGAGTCTCACACGTAGAAGTCGAAACATCCCCTCAGCAATTCATTGAGGTCTTGGAGTTCCTCGTCGTTGTCATATGCTTGTCAGTATCAGCAAAATCACGATCACGATCACGACCACCCTGTTGTTCGTCGATTGCCTCGAGCAGGTGCCAGTAACGTCTTCTTCGTCCTAGCCCTGAGATTTTTTTTTTTTAAAGTGCCATATTCAAGGCTTTTTCAGGGTTAGGAGAATGAGACCCATCATTGTTACTGGTATTTGGCATATTGGGTATACCACGGGGAGTTTGCCAGACTCTGCCGTGTGGGTATGTTACATTTGGTAGCCTGCCAGTTTGACCGAATTAGGAATGAGATGATAAGATGTCACGCGGCCGCTGAGTGTGATGATCTCTGGATCCTGGCCGTTGTTGGAGTTACACGGCAGTTGGTGGGTGTAACTGTCTAGTTACTGGCAGGTCCAGTCCCAAACTGTATAGGCTTGGAGATCTCAGCCCCGGGTCCCACACACCTGGGTTCCTCTGTCAGTTCTTTTATGCGTGAGGCTCATCCAAGTGTGTGGAG